GAATCTATTTGAAAGGCTAAAAGGAAATGGATCACCTGAGTTTCCAATGGTAGATTATTTGAGACATCCAGAAAGCGTGTCAACCTCTCTCCCCCTTCTGCCATTATTTCTTCATTGGTTCTTTGCTTTGTTGCTCACGAATGGCATTGCAATTATTTGGGGGTTATTTTGGATGGCACATTTAAGAACAGCTTATGCTGTACATGGTGCAGTGCTACTTCTGGTTTTAACTTTGATTCTAGGGCTTTAACTTTCTTGGTTATCACTTGTCACTTATGTTGCTGTTATTGCTGCCATTTTATGCACTTCCTTTATACCACCATTGCTCAGCATTATTGCCAACCATTAGGTACTATCTTCATTTGCAATTATTTGCCACTCTGATGGTCAGGTCCACAATCTGTAACATCCACACAACTACTCTGTGCACTGGATGCTAAACATCACCATGATTCCACGTAGTCTATATCACTCAATTGGAGCATTCTGTAGCATGCTTACAAATACCGCCAAGACATTCATGAGCTACTTTGTTGGTAATCTGGATTTTCCTTTTCTTGTAATTTCAGCCTGATGCAAAAACAAATAGGTTTAGGGAGAAAGTCTTAAAAAGGGGTGGGATGTGGAGGGATATATATGGGATTGATGAAAAGAAGGTTGCAATCATGGTCAGAGAAGATAAAGTTGACATACTGGTAGAACTCACTGGACATACAGCTAACAATAAGTTGGGAATGATGGCATGCCAACCAGCCCCTGTTCAGGTATGCCTCAAATTGTGTTTTTTTTTTTTTCTGTTTTTTTGGGAAAGAGTTTATTTATTTTTGTGTTGGAGTTCATTTCTTAATGCTATGGTTCTAATAATCCATTCATAGTATATCTGTGTTTAAGAAGTTGTATGTGCTCAATCCTTTATGTAAATAATGAGTGGTATATATTTTCTGTATAGGTTTTGGATTTATTGATTTCAGCAATCATTTTGCATTCAAAAGCCAGTTGGTCTATTGATTGTATTTTTGCTTATATATACGGCCACTTCTATGGATAGCACATTGAATTGTTGAGTCCATATTGGCTTTACATGTATTAGCACTTGAGATAGCTTGAAAAGGCCAGTCTTCTGTGCACTTCATACCTCCCTGCTGCAAATATGCTTCTATTTGGTTTAAAATTGTAAAAATACATACATTTGTAACTCATTTTCCTGAACCTCCAATAATGGGAATATTCTTTTTGGTCTGATGGTCGATAATGTGAGTATGAGGAACTTGTTAGATTTGTGATTGTAGGTGGCATGTGCACAGTTTCTTGAAGAGAGATATTGGAGTAATCCTGGTCATACAAATTTGTTAAAGTCTAGGATACTTTTTGATTGGTTCATCATTAGCATGTCATGGGTTGGAGATTCTAGAAACCATGAATAATTAGCTACAAAATTATAATTATAAATGGATGCTAAAGGCACAAAACTCTTATACAAATACCAAAAGAAAAGGACAAAAACTCAAGAAGCATTTAAAAATAGCTTAAATGTAGACAATAATAGCACATGCCAAAAATAAAAAAACCGTCAGTGCTGTGAATGTCTCAGATTCTGTTCCTTTTTGCCCAACTTAGATTTTTTTTTTTTCCATTTGAATTGTGCTAGTAAACACAGCTCACTGTGGGACTTTGTCTCTGACCTTTTACGGTTTGTCTTTATTTTAGGTGACTTGGATTGGCTACCCAAATACAACTGGCTTGCCTACCATTGATTACAGAATTACTGATTCATTCGCTGACCCTCCTGATACTAAACAAAAGTAGGCCCTCTTATTACTTTCTTAAAGTTATTTTTCTAAAATATAGCCCAGTAGAATGATTTATTTTATGTTATCTGTGCATGGTATGGTTGTTCAATGACAGGCATGTTGAGGAGTTGATCCGACTACCAGAATGCTTCCTTTGTTATATACCTTCACCAGAGGCTGGGCCTGTTGCTCCAACTCCTGCTCTTTCGAATGGCTTCATCACATTTGGTAGCTTCAATAATTTGGCAAAGGTATTGGCTACTTCTGTGATTAGAGAAGTAAACCACTATCTATACTGGAAAGATTATCCGAGTGCTTTGATATTTTGTTTCTTTATTTGCCCTTTTTTATGTTTCTTCACATTTCCCCCCCACAGATAACACCTAAGGTATTGCAAGTTTGGGCTAGGATACTCTGTGCAGTTCCAAACTCCCGCCTTGTGGTGAAATGCAAGCCATTTTGCTGCGATAGTGTTCGACAAAGATTCCTTACAATGTTGGAGCAGCTGGGGTTGGAACCACTGCATGTTGATCTTCTGCCTCTAATTCTTCTTAACCATGATCACATGCAAGCTTATTCTCTAATGGACATTAGGTATGATTGTCAGTTGTAATATACTTGCAACCACCTTTTGTTTGATCTTGAAGATGTTCAGAGAAGCAAAATATGCTCTTTATATGTTAGGTTGATACCTCTACTTCTATCACCTGTCTTCTGGGTTTATTTGCATTATTTAGATATACATACTTTTCTAGTACACTTCTGGTTTGGCATGTGAATCTTCTTTAGGGTTCTCTCTTATGTTATTTATATGATGTAGCTTGGATACTTTTCCATATGCTGGCACAACAACAACATGTGAATCTTTGTACATGGGAGTTCCATGCGTTACCATGGCTGGTGCTGTACATGCTCACAATGTTGGCGTGAGTCTTCTCAGCAATGTCGGTGAGGACCTTTCATTTCAACTTTTTATTTCAAGCCTATCTTAAATTACTGTGGATTTGTATGCCTCATTGCATTTGATGCCCTTGATTTTTCTGTTTACAAATTGCTTGTCTTGTGATCGAAAGTACAAAAGTAGGTTGAGAGTAAAAACTCTGCTTTGTGACAGTGGATAACCTTTTTAAAACCATGATTTTGTAAACTCAATACACTGGAAACCATGGTTTTGAAAGAGCTATGATTTGATGCTTTTTCAAAACCATGGTTATGAAAACTCAAATCCTTTAACAGAGCCAATATCAAAAGGGGAAAAAAGGAGGTCATCAACATGTGTGCCTGTTAAATCGAAAATGAAACATAGCTTTTGGATCTATACAAATCTTCTGGGATAAACTCTGCTGGAATGAGAATCCAATGTCACTTTGCACTGTGGTGATTCTAATGGTGTCATGGTATGCATTTCCCACCGCATCTGTGTTGTTTTTTAAGTTCACTGTTCACCAACAAATTTCATCTATGCTGCTTTCTGATATTTAAATTGTCATGATTAAGATTGAAGCCACTGGGTTGGAAATTTTATTAGCTTCTAAAATCTGAAGTATAATTTATTTGAAATGAACTGAAATGTTTTTGTGCATGCTTATGAAAATTTTCTTTTAGCCTTTTTTTAGCTTTGATTGAGGGTGTTCAGCTTGTTTTTAATTACTGTGGACGTTGTGACTGATTGTAATGCAGGGTTAGGACATCTTGTTGCAAAAAATGAAGAGGAATATGTTCAATCAGCACTGCAGCTGGCTTCAGACATTGCGGCTCTCTCGAACTTGAGGATGAGTCTCCGGGACCTTATGTCTAAATCTCCTGTTTGTGATGGACCAAATTTTACTCTTGGTTTAGAGACAGCATACCGGAACATGTGGCACAGATACTGTAAGGGTGATGCGCCATCTTTAAAGCAGATAGAATTGCTACAACAGCAGGAGGTTCCCAAGGAGGTACCTATCAAGAACACTGATTCAACAAGGATTACATCATCAAGAGATGGCCCTCCAGAATCCATCAAAGCAAATGGATTTAGTGCAGCCTCACTGCCCGAGGTCGATCATACTATAAACTTAGGCTAGCTGAGCTGAAAATAAATTATCCGGTGAGACACCAGGTGTCGAGACTGCCTGGAGTGCAGTGCTGCGTGATGGATAGAAACGTCAGCATGTATAATATCTGTAACTGTATCTCCTGGGATTTGAAGCTGGTATTGACTGAGGTGGCAATCCCCCGTTACTTTGCAGAGGGTCAATTTTTTTTGGTAAAGAAGTGGCAATTGTTTGGCAGTTTTACATTTCTTTGGACCAGAAAGAAATATAGTCAATTGGGAAGAGATGATTAGTAGGTATCTGTATCACATTTTTTCAAAGCTTGAATCATAGAAATTAGTGGTGGTTTGGCTCTTTAACGTTTAGACTTGAAAGCACTCCCAAAGCTTTAACCCTTGGGCTGGGCAGATCACCATACAGGGAGTTGTGGTTTCGTTCCAGCTGCTGTGTATGGACGTCAGTCTGTGATCTCTTAACTGTGAACATGGTGAAATACAGAAAAATATTAATACTGTGATTTACTGATCCAAATGTTGTTGCCTATTACAGCCAGATAGTTGTCAGGAGTGGGTAGTTCTTGAAAGCTAGTGGTCTGAGAATTTGTGAGCTCTTATCTTATTTTTGTTTCAGTTGAATCTATTGCATCATTTGTTGCTCCATTGCTTATCTATTATTATGGATGCCTCGGATCAAAATTTATTTGCCAAGAAACAATTTGTTCGGTTACCACTGGATAATTCTCTCGTCTCCTCCTTTTGGAGGAGGAACAGGGAGACTGGGTTATTTCCCGCACCTAAAAATCCTATATCTAGGCTGTATAAAACTTGTGTTATTAAATCCTGTATAATTGGTTAAAATTTGAAACTCGAGTTCTAAATTAAAAATTAAATTGGGAAAAAGCAAAGGAAACTTAAGTTAATCTTTGATTAATTTGCTAAATCTATAATTCCAGTTGTGAATTCTAATTTAATCATGAAAAAAAATTAATATTTGATTAAATCAAGAAAAAAAATTAAGAAAATATTATTAAATAATGAAATTGAATAAAATATATTTGGGTTGTTAAAAAATATATCCATGTACAGCCTTTTTTTTTTACTTTATATATATATATATAGCAGAAGAGGTATTATCGTTAGCTGAGTAATAGCCTAGATTTCGGTCAATACTATGGTGCCTGAAACAACATCCTTCATTAATACTTCAAAAAATAACAGACTTTGCTAAAGCTTATAAAATGGTACATCGTTGTAAACTTAACATCATTAGTTTTGCAGAAAAATGGCAGCAGACAGTGTTAGAAGGGGCAAGTAAACAGAAGGAAAATAAAAGGTACTTCAGGACCTACATTTCATCACATTCTGATTGCCAGCTTTCTTTCATCATTGTTTTTCTTCTGCTAATGTAGGCAATCCAATTGCTACGTTTCATCATATTTTTTTATCGATACAAAAAGTACTGAAAAGAACCAGTTGCTGCAGGCTTCTGATACTGGAAACAGATCATCTGCCTTCATAATTGCCATGTAGTGCTAATCTTTGACAGATGCCCGCAGTATCTTCACATCATGGATAGGCCTGTGTTCGGAAAGAGTGTCATACATGGAGTGATTCAAACATCAAGTGGAGTGTAACAATTATAACCAATGAAAATGGAATTACCAGGAAAATATTAAAAAATAATAACAACAAAGAAAGTTTTTACCTATCATTATTGTCAGTTTGGACACTACCGAGTCTCTTGATTATTTCCATTCCCCTGCATACTCTTCCAAAAATGGTGTGCTTTCCTGGATAATGATATAAAGCAGACGAAGCATTATAACAACAGTGGGATATATGGGCCTGGAATAGGAAATAAACAATGGAAAAGCAAACAATTCGATAACTTCAATGTCCAAAATACTCCAATTGAAATCTGATTTCAGCCAAACCACAGGACTCATTGTTGCTAACTTGAACTTTGGATCAATCAGGCTTCTTGGTGACAATAATTGGAGCTTCAAAACACTTTCAAAACAAGAATGATGCCATTATTTAGTTTCTGGGATCTTTGCTTTCCTACGCAAGCTTAGAAACTCTACTGCATCGTAGATACAGTGACAAGATTAAAATCAATGAAGGATATAAAAGTGATCCAAATTGGTGACAAGATTAGCATTCTCTGATTAGCATCCTTGAAATTTGACCATGATATGAAAGGGGAGACGGGTGTTGATTAAGTACAATACCAAGTCCATAACTGCTGGATCTGAGATCCAAGTTTCACTATTCTCAAAACTATTCATTTATCATATTATTGTGTAGGTCACAAGCCAATCTAACAAAGTCCACGAGTCAACAATTTTCTAACAAAAAAAAAAAATATAAACCATTCGAACAAACAGAGGAATAAAATTACCATCTAGAGATGGAGTCGGCGACAAAGTGATGAAAAATTGGCTTCCATTAGTATTTGGACCAGCATTTGCCATAGATAAGATCCCAGCTCCAGTGTGCTTTAACTCGGGGTTTATCTCATCCTCAAACTTATCACTATAATTCACAACATCAAAATCCATTCTTTTTAAGCAATTGTAAAAAGAAAAAGAAAAAGAAGAAGAAGAAGCAAGCAAGCACATTAGAACCAAACAAAGCCCTACACAATCAAACTAACCCATAAATGGATTTTCCACCTCTTCCAGTTCCTGTTGGATCCCCACCTTGCACTATAAAATCCTACTCCAAAAACCCACCAAGAATTATAAAAAAAACACAAAAAAAAAGACACAAAGGCCTCTTAATTCCAATAAAACAAAACATGAGCCAGTCTTTATATTTATAGTACCTTAATAATGCGGTGAAATTTAACGTTTTCATAATAACCTCGACGAGATAATTCAAGAAAGTTCCTGCAAGTTCTTGGTGCGTGCTTGTAGTATAACTGTCCATCACCAAAAAGAATAAAATTAAAAAGTGGTACGAAATAATAAGAAAATAAAAAGGGTAGAGAGAGAGAGAGAGAGAGAGAGAGAGAGAGAGACACCTCAACAGTGAAAGGACCCATTGATGTCTCCAGAGTTACCTCTGGAGCTCCACCTTCAGCATCCGCCGTCATCTTTCCGCACAAAATTCTCAGGGAGATCGCGATAATGGAGTTTTTCAGTTCTCACTCGGTTATCCAGCTTTTAAACTGGGCATCATTGTTCGGATTCGGGCTATAAATTAATTAATGGGCTAAGCCATAAGGGGACCAGCTCTCAGATGTTGTTAAGAGAAAGCATGAATTGTTGGCCCAAGAAAGGCTGGTCTCACCATTTATTTTTATTTTTTCACGAGGATAATTGCTTTCTATAGCTTTACTAAGATTTGCCTGGTATATTTATTATAAATTCATTTAAATGGTTTCTTAAAAACTTATTCCCTACAAAAAATAAAAAAATAATTTTTTTATTAATCAATCAATCAATAATAATAATAATAATAATTTGATTTAAATAAAATATTGTTATAATTTTTTTTAAGCAAAAGTTAACATCTTTTAACTTTATTATTGATTCTAACTACATCATTATGATATTTTTATTGAAAAGAAGTGATTTGAGGCCTTCTTTATCAACATATTCTTAATTTAATTTATTTTTATTGTAAATTATTCATCAAATATACATTTTGATTTGTAATTTGAAAATAAAATTATTTTTTTTCGAATCATTTATTACTAAAAATTAATTTTAAGAAAACATCTATAATAAAAATGAGATATTCTTCAAAAAAAAATATTTATCTAACATAAAATATAAATTTTAGATAATAATATAAAAAATATAAGCCATTTAAATACAATTACAAAGCTACATCTCCGAATAATAATAATGGTATTTATATATTATGTTTCTTTACATCTATATAATATTCATTATCTAACAAGTATATAAATTAAATAATTATATTTTATTTTAAAGTATAATTTATTATTTAACTTAATATATATATATATATATTTATTAGATTTGAATGGAGTTTAATAATATTTATTGCATATTTAATACACATCTGACAAAATAACTACAAAAAAAATCTCAATCGTCAACTTTAGTCTGAGTAATGAAACTATTTAAAAAATAATAATATTTATTTGTTATTTATTGGGACTCGGAAGAAGTTGTCACCCCTGCTCCAAAAACATATTCCCGGTTTTATAAATGGAAACAAAATAACAAAGGATGTATATCAACGTTTCTCTGGCCTTGAGGGACTAAACTAAAATTTCCAACAAATTGTGATTGCTGCCGTTTCGATACGGGCAGCGGCAGAAGCTCGAAGGTGGTGGTGTAATTTGTCGATGAGGAGAGGAATAGTCAGGCTACCATAAAACCCGCCAAGCTTAAGTGGGTTATTCAGGTAAGCCTGCAATGTTTGAAACTGGGTTCCACGGCGTCATAAAACGCGCGGTTGTAATTGGAAATGGATTCGCAGGCGCCGAGAACCAATGCATCGGCCTTCTTCGCGCTCTTGGCCTTTCCTCTCGCTATTCTCTATATGTAAAACTCCAATCCCCTCACTCCTTTGATCCCTTCTCGTACGACTCCTCATGGTAAATAATTAACACCTATAATTTGTGCAGCGAGTTATGAGGCCAAGAGGGACAGTTAATGAGTGGTTGCATTGGCTGCCAGTTTCTGTGCACAAGAAAGTGGACAATGTTATAAGAAGAATCTATGATGATTCGAGGTGTTTTCTAGGGAAAAAGGTGATGCCTGTTTTGGTTGAAAATGGTGGGAAGAATGCAGGGTTGTTAGATGTATTGGAAGCTGATGCAAATCAGATTGCCAAAATGGCTCGTGATACATTTGATAGGTATGTATGTATATAATTTTCTTGGAATCCTTCATTTATTTTAGATTGTTAAGTAGAGTAATGCACTTGAAATCAGTATATTTGATCTTTTTAAGGAAACCCATGAAGGGAATGGGTTTTGTATGCTCATAATATGAATTTATGTAATTAATTTGTTAGCTATGTTGGTGTTTTTAGTGATTATAGGTTCTAGAAATGGTAGTTCATCATTTAACGATTGCTTATTGTTTTCTTTTAATTCAGGGATGGTCCATTATTGGTGGTTGCGTCTGGAAGGGACACCATTTCTGTTGCAAGCTCTATAAGACAGTTAGCTTCAGAGAATGTTTTTGTGGTTCAGGTTGTAGCTTAATTTATCCATCATGGGTCTTATTATTTGTATTATATTTTGCATGTGATGATATTTGTCTTGAAATAGAGTCATGCAGTTTGGTGTTTGAGGAATTGATTTCATGGATCCCTTTTCCTTTTGTTTCTTCTATTTGTTAAATTAGACAAAGGGTTCTCTTTTCTATTTATTTGCTGTGATGTTTCATTTAAATTTTCACTGAAATGCAACAGATACAACATCCAAGGTTGAATCTGAATAGGTTCGATTTGGTGATTACCCCTTGTCATGATTATTATCCGTTGACTCCTGAAGCTCAGGAGCAAATCCCCTGGTTTCTTCGCAGTTGGATAACTCCACGTGAACCACCAGACAGCAATGTGGTATTTGTTCTGGTTACTGAAATGCTTTCTTAGATGGGTTCAGCAAATGAAAATAAAATTGGATAGCTTTGGACTGTTAAGTTACTTTTGTAGTTAGTTGTTAAAATGCTATACGAAACTTATGGATTTGGGATTTTGGATCTCTCAGGTTCTCACTGTTGGAGCTCTTCATCAGGCTGATTCAGCTGCACTGAGGATTGCTGCTTCTCTCTGGCATGATGAATTGGCACTGCTTCCGAAGCCCATGCTTGTTGTCAACATTGGAGGGCCTACTAGTAAAATGCTGTGCATATGTGTTTATTATTTGCATGCTCTCATTTTTGGAACATTCTTTTTGGAATTCCTCATTTTTTGTCAATTTCTTCAGATAAATTTTGTTTAGTGTATGTTAATATATCCAGGAATGACATGACATGACATCGATCAAGAGATTGGTTGACTTCTTTATATGTAGAAGACTAATTTTCACCTTAGAAAAGTTATCTGTAGGTGCATTATTTTGAGAATATTCTTGATCTGGCATTCCTGACCACCTCTTGTTAGATTTTGTGTTGTTGTGGCATTCCTGACCACCTCCTTGTTAGATGATGTTGTTGTTGTTGTTGTTCTTGTGGAACCAATAAAGACATAAAAAGGGAGGAAGATACCATTCAACTGCAACAGTAATCAGAAAAATGACATTGCGGTCAAAAACTGCAGTTTTCTTGTTGCTGTTCTGATCCAAAATGTCCTTTTGTACATGATAGAAGAATGATTTCCGCTATGAGATTATTTCTTTTTTCCACTTTCTATGCAAATCCTGGTGTTTTACTACTTGCTGTAAACAACTAATTTAGGTGTTTCTTCAGTATATCAAGGAAATAATTGGAATAAGTGGAGCGAGGGATGATGATTCTTTGTTCAGCTCTACTCTGGTTAACTATTACACATGCAAACCTGGGTGTGAGCAACCCAATTCATATCATTACATCTGATGTAACTCACAGTAGTTAGAATTTGAGTGGAGCTTGTTTGGATAGATGGGTGATATACTGCATATAAAGGGGGGTTTGGTCGTGTAGAAAGAGAGTTTTGCGAGCACATGAATATTTTTTTGGGAATGCTAGAGTCTGCTGCAGAATTTTGTGTTTGTGCATTGTTGCTCAATTTTTTTCCTCATACATTAAGTCATGGAATTTGTTAGGAATGTCTTTTCTGTTGCCACTAAATTACTGTGACATCATGTGGCACGTAAAACTAAATTTTTGATATCATGGCAACTTTGATATCTAGAATTTCATCTGCTGATATATAATACCTGAAAGAGTCACTTAGTTGTTTGAGTGAACTATATTTTCTTCATCATGTAGTGGTTGATTCAAGTTTTTACCTGATTATATAAAAGTTCTTTATCTCAGTTTCTTGTTTTACTAACAGGAAACTGTCAGTATGGTGAAGATCTTGCAAAGCAATTGACAGAAATGCTGCGAAATGTTCTTTGGAGTTGTGGGAGCCTTAGAATATCTTTTTCTAGAAGAACCCCTGAGAAGGTTTAAATTCTTTAAGCAATTTCTTGTGCTGATTCTTTTGATTAGTGCTAATTTGCCATGTCTTGGCATGTATTGGCAGGTGTCCAAGATTCTATTGAAAGAATTTAGTGCAAACCGTAAGGTTTACATTTGGGATGGTAGAGGTAAGACGTAGCTGTAACCTGAGAGGATATCTTCAGTCTTCTCCCACATGGTGCAGTTTTTATAGTAGGCAAGAATTACTCATCCAATGATAACTGCTTAGGTCCAAATCCACATATGGGGCATCTAGCTTGGGCCGATGCTTTTGTAATAACGGCTGATTCAGTAAGCATGTTGAGTGAGGCCTGCAGCACTGGGTAATGCATGTGGATGAATCTCTAGGCATTGCTTATAGTGCTGTTTTATACTGAAGTTCATGTGCTCATATAAATTTGGTTTGTGCTGCAGGAAACCCGTCTATGTTGTAGGAGCTGAACGGTGTACATGGAAGTTTGCTGAATTCCAGAAGAGTTTACATGAAAGGGGAGTGGTTAGACCATTCACTGGCAAAGAATATGTATGTAGCCAGCTTTCTCATGATGACCAGGTTCTCTGCTGCTGTTTTACATAGTGAAAAAAGCAAACATATCACTTGAAGAAAATTGTGTTTTTTTCTTTGAATTTTGCTAACGTGTTATCCATGATTAGCAATGAATGCAAAATCATGTATCATTTTTGGTAGTGGAGTGAGCCATCTGGGCTGCTGAACAAACAATTGTAAATCACACCACACCAGTGCTGAACAAAGTTGACATTAATTTTACTGATTTATCGTTTTACAGATATCCGAGACCTGGAGCTACCCTCCACTGAATGACTCTGCAGAGGCTGCAAGTCGGGTGATTGAGGCACTTTCCAAGCGTGGATGGATCACACATGCTCGATGGGTTTTCTAGTCTCAGGCATGAGCATAATGAAGTTCACACAGTGCATAAAATTCTCTGCATAGTCCACACTTGCTCAATTGTTGACCTGCTTGTTAAGATACAACAGGCTGCATTCACAGAGAATTGCCAAATTGCACTCATTGTAAAAGTAAAACTAATTCTTTCAGTTGATTTTACTCTACCTTCTTTGTCTGATAGGTTTTAGTTTTCAGAAGAGCCTTACAAGTCGCTATGTGATCGCAGTACAGAAGTGCTGCATGGAATACAAAAACAGTCACAAATCAATTGTACTACATTGTAATTAAAGAAGAAGGCGGAAGAGTATAAAGTTTTTCACTGCTATAAAATCAATCGTACCACTCGATCTGGATGGTTAGCGAACCTGATTTTGCTATCCCATTATAGTTCGTTGCTAAACTTCAAACAATACCAATCACTTAAAAGAGCAGAAGGTGAATTTAGTATCGCGTTTATGCAGTGAAATTATGCAGCACAACAGAGATTTTACTATATCAGTTTAACATGGAGAGGGGAAAACACTAGGCATTTAGACAATTTTTCATTATTCTGGAAATGCGAAGTTTCAGATTCACGTCACCAAAGCATGCACGGGCATTGGCCTGCATGGCTTACGGCATTATTGGCAAAACGATGACCTAATTTACAGCAAAAGTGGCCCATAATTTGACCTATCACCACAACGCTAATCTTACCCTGCTTTTTGCATAACCTGGTATCGCAAAAAAAAAAAAAAAAACAATGATCTGAAGCTGGTGGCAAAGATCTGTACCTTCAAATGAAAAGGTTGCTGCATGTGTGGTTTGGTTGGGTGATTTAAAGAAATTACATATTAGTCATGGCAAATTAAGTATTTAATTAATATTTATGCTATGGTATTTTATAGATCCCCACTTCTCATCTTTTCAATGTAAATAAACCAAGGCATAGCTCAGGATATCACAAGTATCAAATTAAAAAAGACTCTAGGATCACTATGGCCACCGCTGATTATCAAGATCTTTGACAAACACAAATGACTTGGAGATCCCATCATTTTTAATAAAGATTTTTAATCAAGAAGTGTTAACTGATCTGGTGTCAGTGTTATTTGTTCGGTTGACTTTCATTTTTCGAAGAAGAACTACCTAATCTTGATGTCCATGCTCATGCATCACCTTTCCGGTTGACTTTCATTTTTCGAAAAACTACTACCTAATCTTGATGTCCATGCTCATGCATCACCTTTCTACTTGCTTTCTTATAGAGCCTGATCATGTGGAATATAGTTAGCAACAACTCCTCTTAGTTTTAGGTATAGACTTATTCCGGTTAACTCTTGTGTAGATCTCTATATAAGGTTCATTCATCCAGCCATTTCCATCAAAACAGCTTCGAGTCTCTCACCCACTAATTTCTCATATCACAACCTTGACCAGTCTTCCACTCTCTACAGGGATTAAAAAAAAAAGATGGGGGGGTCAACAGAAATTGATATGCCAGAGTCAAGCTCTGTTTCTAAAGGAAAAGCACCTCTCATAGCTGCTCCCATGAATGAAAACGGAGGATACAAGAAGGGAATCGCCATATTCGACTTGATTCTTAGGCTGGCTGCTATAGTGACTGCTCTAGCAGCTGCCGCTTCCATGGGGACTAGTGATGAAACTCTTCCATTCTTCACTCAATCCTTCCAGTTCCAAGCTAGCTATGATGATCTTCCCACTTTCCAGTATGTGCTTTCACCTCTTACTTCAAATAGTAGCTAGGGATAGTATAATTTTAGTGTAATTGGCTTAGAATTCTTACACATAACACCGTCTGTTTTTGGCATAATGCTAGTTACAAAACGTTGATGAAATAAACATGGTAACACATTTAGAAGGCATGGAGATCTCTAAAGGAATTCTAAGGCATCTATGGTTGCAGGTTTTTCGTCATTGCAATGGCAATAGTTGGTGGCTACCTTGTCCTTTCACTTCCATTCTCCATTGTGGCTATTGTCCGCCCGCATGCTGCTGGACCAAGGCTCCTGCTCATTATTTTGGACACTGTAAGCTCTCTTAATGCTGTGAAATCAACATCTCACAGTGAAATCTCAAATCCTCAACTCATTGTAACAAAAAAAAAATCTCTACCCTTTTCTCGCAGGTGGCACTGTCTCTAAACACTGCTGCTGGTGCTGCAGCCGCTGCCATAGTCTACTTGGCCCACAATGGCAACTCGAGCACAAATTGGCTTGCTATCTGCCTACAGTATGGTGATTTCTGCCGGAAAAATAGTGGAGCTGTGGTGGCATCGTTCATCACCGTTGTCATCTTCGTGTTTTTGCTTGTGCTGTCAGCTTTCGCTCTGCGAAGGCATTAAGAGAAGAAAGAGCAGAGCTTGTTTGGTGTTCATATTGTTAATTTATTATCATTGTCAACGTTGTTATTGTGTAATCATGAGATTAATCATTTGGGTAGTGTCACTTGGTTGAATCTTGGCTTAAATCAGAATGTACGCCTCCTACCTCTACCAGATTGGTGTTATCTTCATGGCTGCAGCAAGGTTTGATCAATATATTGTTTTTCAAAGGATACTTTCTGCTCAACAGCTCAAACATCATTGCTTATTATAAAAATTATACAAATTACATAACACTTGAAGACACAAGGTCAAAGAAAGCAAATAAATGAAATGACTTCAATATCTAACCAAGAACATGGATCATCGTCGACCTGTCCCTCTGCATAAACAGAAATGCTAAATATATAACCATGCTCAGCACAGCGAGATGAGTAACTCCTGTCCAGCTCTGATCTCACCTCCAATTCCGTAACATATCTTAAATATGATTCTTTTAATTCAGTTATTGAAATATAATTGTCTTATTAAAACAGCTTAGTGAGATATTGAACATCCGTGACGTGACAGAGGTGAGAAAATCATAATCCAAGTAACATTTAACCCTCATAATTATAATCTTAAACCACCAACACAACGTTTATCTCGAGTATCATGAAAGATTAAAATGGCCTTATCAGATAAATTTATGAATCTTTTATATATAAAAAAATTAATTAGGTGAGGCTTACACTAATAAATTATGACAACATCGCGTTTCCCAATTCCACACTATAGTATTTCTCTCGGCGTACTGTCTAAGGAATAATGTTTTTTTTTTTATGCTGATAATTACATTTTATTCTCTATTTTTCTTAAATGTTTATATATATTTAATCCCTATAGCTTTACGTATTTGTGTTTTGATTTTAAAATTTATTTTTCTGATGTTTCAATCCATGTAAGTTGAGAAAGAAGCAATAAAGTTACCAGGAAAAAAAAAATGAAAGAAAGAAAGAGGAGAGAGTCTTGTTTGGACCCCTTTCCAGCCATAAAAAAACCAATTTTGATATCAATAATTTTATCTTAAAAATGAAAGTTTGATGTAGGTTGAACTTTAAAGAAAAATATAAATTAAAATTCAAAATATCTTTTTTGTTCAGTTTGATTTTAAGTTTTTAAATTAACTTAAAAGTGTTTTGGGATTGCAAATAGGATTATCAACATTTAAACATGCAAGAAAAAAGTACATCATAATTTAAAATATTTTTTTATTTAATTTGATTTTAGATTTTTAGACGGATTAAAAAGTGTTATAGGATTTGAAATAACGTCATTAACCTTTAAAAATACAAGGAAAAAGTAGAACAAAATTCAAAATATTTTTTTATTCAATTTAATTTTAAATTTTTAGACTAACTAGAAGATATTTTTAGGATTGAAAATAAGGTTATTAACCTTTAAACATGCACTACACCATTAAATAATTTTATCAACGGATTCATTCTATCGGTGTAAGCCACATAATTCATCGGCAATAATATTACCGACGGAATCCGTTTGTTGAAATATTTATCGTCGGCAATTCACTGTTCCGTCACTAATTCTATCGGCAATTAAAAAAACAAACACCGATTAAACATCGATGACATTATAGATGGGAGAAGCATGCCAAAAAATAATTCTTGTGAGAACTTTACTAATAGACGTATTCTGTTTGTATTTTCAACGATAATCAATGACGGACTAGTCGTTGGTGATTATGGCATAGACATTAAATATTTTAGAACTCTCTATAAAATATTGACAAATATAGTCCATCGATAATATCAATGATAAACACTGATGCAATATATTCGTCAGTGATTATTGCATGGATGATAATTTTTTTGCAACTCTCGGTAAAATACTGACGATCTGGTTTCGTTTGTAAGGTCATCAGTATTGATTTAAAATATTTTTTTAAAAATTATTTATGAATAATAAAAAACTAATTAACCAAATAAAATTGCATTAAACATTAAAAATATAAAAATAATGTTAAATAATATTCATTTAAATATTCATTACAAATTTATTGTGTTTCAAAAACAAAATTAAACTATAATAACGGTGAAGTTAGAGGAGAAGGAGGAGGCTAATTGTTTCTGAAACCGTACAACCAAAAAGGGGTTACAGATGTACCATCACCCATCATTGATCTAATCTCCATGATCATTTGATGGAGCTGATCATAATCCGTCGAGAGTCGTTCATATTGTTGTTTTAAGGCCATGAACTCCGGAGACTGGGTACTTGATGTTGATAGAAAGCTTTTAACGGTTGAGACACTACAGGCCATCTACAAGCTTTCGGTCGTAGTGTTGGAGATCCCATAGACTCGATTTTTATTGGGTCCACTAGATGATTCTACCTCCATCCATAAATCCAGATGGGTCGAATGATCATCCACATATCTCTCCCTTAACAAGCTAATATATCTTTTGATTTTTTTAAAAAAATTATTATATTCAATTCAAGAAAATAATAACTTACAAAATAAAACGATTGAATGAACACACCACGAAGTGTTTAGCACGATTATCCATAAGCTATCGCAACCTCTTTTGACAGTCTTAACTCCGCAAGTGCGTTTCTACAAATAACTCCATTGGGCTTGGCTCATGATATGACCAAAAGATTGATGTCTTCTCCCAAGTACAGGAGTATTGAAGTAATAAATAACATGGCAAAACCATGGTCGAACTACAGGGAAGTTAACTATATAAATTATAAATAATAATAATGATGGTGATGGTGATGAATTGAAAATGACTTTGAGATGTAAGATTAATGTAAGGATAAAATAATTATCAAGGTTAGAGGATCCACTAATGGTATTTCAAACAAGTATAGTATATAATCTTTTTTTTACTCAACTGGAAACCATACATAAAGGAGGTTCTAATCGGATTATAAATGGTTAACATGATTACATGAGTTATCTTATTTGAATAATGCTAATACTTGTAAATGTTGTTAAGTATTC